GCTAAAATTGCACCTGTTCTACCAGCGAAAATAAAGCATTCACCAGCAGACACACGCGTAGAGTGCTTGCTGTTGCTGCTGATGATGCTAATGATGAAGTAGTAGTAGTAGTAGTAGCAGCAGCAGCAGCAGCAGCAGCAATAACTAGCGCGTGCAGGACTGTGGTGTGTAGACAACGCTGAGTGAGAGGTGCATGCATGCATGCAAGTGCATGCAGGTGCCCTCCTAAACAACTGCATGCAAGTGCATGCAAATACATATAAGTACATGCAAGTGCATGCATGCATGCATGCATGCATGCATGCATGCAGGGGCAGTGCTGTCAAACGAAGGATATAGCAGATTGCGTAGAGAAGCATTTAAAGCGGTTTTCATATATCTGCAGTGTATTGTTGAAGTGCACTAATAGATAATAATTAGAATATAATATAATGAAAACCCTCTTAATGCTAATGCTGCACGAAGAAATACAGCAAATAAACTATTCTTTTTGCATGCAAAGAGGGGTGCAGAGACTCACACATTAAACCCATCAATAACAGATTGAATTAGTCTTTCAGTGTCTTCGTAGACTTCCTCCTTTAGACAATTAATGCATTTAAACAAAACAAATAAATAAACAATCACATATACAACAGTAAACCCTAAACCCTAAACCCTAAGAAATACACAGATGGGTTCATATCCCTATTAAGGGCTTAGGGTTTCGGGTTTAGGGTTTAGGGTTTAGGGTTTAGGGTTTAGAGTTTCCGGACTGCATGCGAAGTAGAAGCAATCAAATGCATGCATTTGAGGTGCCTATACACCTGAATTTAAATTCTTTTGCATATTATATTAATTCTTACCTGTGTGCTTGACCCTGAAAAGACTCTGTCATATGTAAACTCCTTCTCACCCTAAAGAATATAAGAAAATATATATAATAAAACAATATATAATATATACTATATAATAATATATAATATATTATATTATATTATAATACAGTATAATAAATACTATATTGAGGGTTTGTGAATAAGAGAAACAAAAAGCAAAAAAAATTAAAACAGAGAAGCTGATAGTTTAGGAGATGCATTGAGCTGTACATACAGCAGAAGGCAAAATATTTATAGAGTTTAATTAAATATTAAATATTAATAGACAGTGGATATTGCATGCAGGCTGTTTGTTTGCATTTCTTTGTGTTTGTCTTGATTTGTTTATCTCTCTGTCTCTTTGTTTCTCTCAGCTATTTGTATATATAGATATATATGTATATATGTATATATATATGTATATATATCGCATATATCTATGTAAACATGTATATATATATATATATATACAACACATATATATATATATGTATATCTTGACAGACAGCAACAGCATAATAATATTATATTATATATATAAATATAACATAAAACATTATTGTATTAATAATCTCTGTCTATCTCTCATTCAGGGCTGCTATATAATTATGTAAATATATTTTAACATTTATATTAATTTATATTTTTGTGTTTGAAAGTCAATACAATGCATGCATCATTAGACAGAAGAACAAATAAATAACAAAACAAATAAATAAATAAATAAATAAATAAATAAATAAATAAATAAATAAATAAATAAACAATTAAACAAGTTTATTGTATTACCTTTGGGGCTGAGACTTTAACAGAATACTCATCAAGACATTCTATACATTGCATGCAGCCCTTTGCTTTTTCATAGCCAGCAAACGGCCGGACTCTGCAGTACACTCTAATCTGTCCTTTCATATCTTCAATCTCGTTGTAATACTTCTTTCTTAACTTCTTTTCGTTCTAAACAACAACAATAATAACAATAATAATAACAATAATAATAATAATAATAATAATAATAATAATAATATATAATAATTATCTATAATAATATATAATATATAATATATAATAATAAGAAAATATAATAATAATAATGATAATATATAATATTATAATAATAATAATATATAATAATAATATATAATATTAATAATATAATCATAATATATAATAACAATAATATATAATAATCATAATCATAGTAAACAAATGCAGTTTTATTAATATTCTTAGTTCTATATTTATATTTATATTTATTTTTATTTTTATTTTTGTACTATATTTTGTTATTGTGTTATTATTAATCCTTTTTTATATTTATTATATAAAGGTGTGCAGCGATGGAGTTGGGTTGCAGGCTAAACCCTAAGCCCTAAACCCTAAACCCTAAACCCTAAACCCTTAAATAATCATTCATTATCATGCACCCTAGTTTAACACTGCAAACCCTAATAAACCCTATTAAACCCTAATCAACTCTAATAAAACGTAATAAACCCTAATAAACCCTAGCAAGCCCCAATACACCCCAGCAAGAGCAAAACCCTAAACCCTAAACCCTAAACCCTAAACCCTTTGCCGCGTGAGACCTGATAAGCACTCTCTAATTCTTTAATTTGAGTTGATTGCTGCGCTGTGGTGCTTCGCAGTTCTGTTAACTCTGCAGCCATTGCTTGCAGATCTCCAACTTGTTTCTGCAGCTCCTGAAAATAAATAAATAAATAAAATAAATAAATAAATAAATTAATTAATTAATTAATTAATTAATTAGTATTCGTCGGTCTATGGGTCTATACACGCATCTATGAATGCAGAAGAATTTATTCATTCGCGAAAAAAAATAAAAAACCCTAAACCCTAAACCCTAAACCCTAAACCCTAAACCCTAAACCCTAAACCCTAAACCCTCCTTCCAGGTACTGCATAGGCTCGGAGGTCAAACCCCAGACCCAATCCCCTAAACCCTAAACCCTAAACCCTAAACCCTAAGCCCTAAACCCTAAACCCTAAACCCTAAACCCTTGAGGGTGGTAAGCGGACGCTGAGGGTTTTGGCAGCCTCTTCGTATTTTTTTTGCATTTCTTTTAATTCTGTTTTTGTGTTTTGCAGGTCGTGCTCTGCTTTTTCTGCTCTCTCTTGTTGTTTTTGTAGCTGCCCCTCGAACTTCTTTGCGTCGGATGCGGCACCCTGAACACATCATAAACCCTAAACCCTCAACCCTAAACCCTGAACCCTAATCCTTACACCCTAAAACGTAAACTGTAAACCTTCATCCATAAACCATTAGCCCTAAACCCTAAACCCTTGAATATGCTTAAGCCAAACCCTAGACCCTAAACTCTAAACCCTAAGCATATAAATTCTAAACCCTAAACCCTAAACCCTAAACCCTAAGCCGAGGAGCTTCTCTGTTTTGTTTTGGCTTCTTTCTTTTTTTTGCTGATTGTTTGTCGTTTGCTTTAGGGTATTTAAATATACACACTTAGACATACATTTATATATATATATATTTATTTATTTATATATTTATAATTATATTTATGTTTTATTATAATTGTTTAATATGAAAGACCGCAGTGTAAATGATTGTGGTTTTTACTTTGAAGTTTTTTGTTAATTCTGCTTCGAGTTGTTTTAATTCTTTTTTTTTATCTGCTTCTGCTTCTTTTAACTGCATCTCTAATATCTTTATCTGCTGGTCTACAGAAACACCGCCTTTACTTCTTGTCTCGTTCTCTCTCAAACGCTTCTGCAGCTGAGCTATCTGCTGCTCCAGCTGCAGCAGCAACAGCAGCAGCAGCAGCAGCAACAGCAGCAGCAGCAGCAGTGAAGAAGCAGCAGCAGCAGCAGAAGCAGCAGCGGCAAAAAAGAAAGTCGTCACAGAGCCAAACGGATAATCCCTAAACCCTAAACCCTAAACCCTAAACCCTAAACCCTAAAGCAAACACTAGGCACCACGCCAGACACACAGCAAATATGCAAAATGAGGGTTTAGGTTTTAGGGTTTAGGGTTTAAGGCCCCTAGGAGTGCATGCGCTTTCTATGGGGCTCAGCCTGATGGTCTAGGGTTTAGGGTTTAGGGTTTAGGGTTTAGTACTTGTTTGTTTTTTTCTTTCGCTTGCTGCAGCATTTGTGCAGTTGCTGCGCCGCCTGGCCCCGTAAGAGGCTTCCCTCCTGCAGATCCATCAAACCCTAAACCCTAAACCCTAAACCCTAAACCCTAAACCCTAGCTGTTTGGGTGTATCTTAAGGCCTGAGCACTTGCCTTTGTTTACTGCTTGTTCCACGTTTGAGAGTTTCCTTTGAAGCTGCGTGCACCCATAACCCTTAAACCCTAAACCCTAAACCCTAGACCCCTACCCCTAAATTGTGAATTGTAAACACTAGACACTGAGCGACAAACACTAAACAATCAGCCCGAGACAATAAACCCTCCGCAATGAATCCTCAACTCTAAACCCTAAACCCTAAACACTAAACCCCAAATTCTAAACCCTAAACCCTAAACCCTAAACCCTAGATTTGCTACCTTATCGTTTTCTTCTTTGAGTGAGTCTACTTGGGCTGTGAATTCTGCTGCTTTCATTTCTTCTTCAGACAGCTCCCTGCCAAAACCCAAGCCGCCCTGCGAACAAACCCTAAACCCTAAACCCTAAACCCTAAACCCTAAACCCTAAACCCTACACCCTAAACCGTAGGAGAGCCGCAGCAGCTCAGGATAATAATAAACTCTAAACCCTAAACCGTTGCAACTCTATTTTGGTTTCTGGGAGAAGGTACATCCGTGGATACACTAAGGAGTGACATTTTAGGGTTTAGGGTTTAGGGTTTAGGGTTTAGGGTTTAGGGTTTAGGGTTTAGGGTTTACAGCGGCGAGCTGCTCCTTGAGAGCTGCATTTTCTGCATTGGATCTGGCGAGTTGCTGCTCGAGACTGTCACTGCGTGATATTGCTTCTTCAGGTGTATAGGCAGCAGCAGCAGCAGCAGCAGCAGCAGCAGCAGCATCTGCAGTTTTTTCTAGCTGCTTCTCGAGTGTATATACAGCAACATTCTCAACCATCAGCCGCAGCAGCGCTTTGATTTCTGCTTCGTCATGCTGCTGCAGTTTGTTGCGGAGAGCAGCAGTAAGCTGGTGCAGCATCTCTTTCAAGTTGCTGCTGCTCCCCGCTGCTGCTGCTGCTGCTGCTGCTGCTGCTTCTCCAGACCCTAGCCAGTGCATATATGTCTCTATCTGCTGCAGCAATTCTTCTTGCTGATCCTGTAGCTTTTCTATTTCTGTTTGACTGTTCATTATTACACCCCGTAGCTCCTCCATGCGGTCTTGCCACTGGGCTGCATCCACAAACCCTAAACCCTAAACCCTAAACCCTAAACCCTAAACCCTAAACCCTAAACCCAAAACCCTGATTTTTAACTCGCTTGGGTCTTCTTACAACACCAATTTCGTGAATGTGCCGGTCAAGGTCCAGTTTACGGGGGTAGGGTTTAGGGTTTAGGGTTTAGGGTTTAGGGTATACTCTTCAAGCCTCAACTTTTTTCATTGAAGTTTAGGGTTTAGGGTTTAGGGTTTAGGGTTTGGTTGTCGCAAGTTTCCTGCTTTGTTCCCTGATTAGGGTTTAGGATTTAGGGTTTGGAAATTAGGATTTTGTCGGCTGAAGAACCTTCCTTGGTTTGAAGGTCTAGGGTTTAGGGTTTAGGGTTTAGGGTTTAGGGTTTAGGGTTTAGGGTTTGGGGTGTATTGACCGTCGAGTTCCTGCATGGTTTTCGGCATTTGTTCTTTGAACTCTTTTACTCTTTCTTCGAAGTTTGCATGCAGTTCCTCGTTTTCTTTTTTATAATAATCTAATTGCGTCTTTGTTGCTTGCATCTTCTTTAATAAAGCTGTAAATTTGCTTATTGCTGTGCGCCGGATGTTCTCCACCTGCGCCCCAAACCCTAAACCCTAAACCCTAAACCCTAAACCCTAAATCCTCAAGATGAAAAAAGGATGGTTTTCCAGCAACTCATACGTCTTCTCAGGCACACATATATACGTACTCTCTTTGCAATATTTAGGGTTTAGGGTTTAGGGTTTAGGGTTTAGGGTTTAGGGTTTAGGGTTTCTTGCTTGTTTGGCCGCTCTTTTACGCGTGGCGTTCTCCATCATTCGGAAGTGCCACTCCATCTCTTGTAATGTTTCCACTTGCTGTTCATACAGCTCAAACCCTAAACCCTAAACCCTAAACCCTAAACCCTAAACTCTAAACCCTAAACCCTAAACCCTCAGCCAGGTATCATGACTCCAGACTGGGACGTTTCCTATCAAGAACGAGAGGCAGATTTCAAGTTAACGCAGCCTCAAGGTTCATGCTCTAGGGTTTAGGGTTTAGGGTTTAGGGTTTAGGGTTTAGGGTTTAGGGTTTGGACCTGTTTTTTGGCTTTGTTCATTTCGTTGATGAGGTGTTCGATGAATGTCTTTGCAGTGTCTGCGGGGATATATTTTTTTTTGTTTAAAACACAAACCTCTTCGTTTGTAATTACAGCTGAGCTCAAAACCCTGCCCTCAGAGAATGAAACAACTTTTATCTTTTGTCGAGGGAAGCCGTCCTCTTCCTCTGCAACAAACCCTAAACCCTAAACCCTAAACCCTAAACCCTAAACCCTAATCCCTAAACCCTAATCCCAAAACCCTAAACCCACTTAGCGCCACATCCATAACCCGCCTCCTTCTCATATTGCAACGCCCTATACCCTTAACTCTAAACCCTAAACCCTAAACCCTAAACCCTAACACACCCAGCAATACGCTGTGCATGGCCAGCTCCTCAATCCTAAACCCTAAACCCTAAACCCTAAACCCTAAATCAAGGAAGGGTCTTCTGCTGAAAAACCCCAAAATTCCAAGCCGTAAGTTGTGAAGCCTTTCCTCGGTTTTGTACAATAATGCAAACCCTAAATTAGGGTTTAGGGTTTAGGGTTTACCTTTTCCTGCCACTTGATCGACTAGGAAGTTAGGGATGCGTAGGCTTTTTCTAGTTTGCGTATGTTCACAATCTTCTTTGTTTTGTTCTTCATCAATTAAAACCCTAACAGTCTTTTGCTGCTGCTCTGCTGCTGCTTCCTCATCGTCACCAAGAAAAGCAGCAAATCGTGCTGTCTTGCTGTTCTTTCTGCTGCTGCTGCTGCCGCTGGGGTCTCCTAAACCCTCATCTTCTTCTAAACCCTCGCCTAAACCCTCAACCTCTAAACCCTCACCATCTAAACCCCCGACTGAAGCCTCGCCAGAGTCTTTAATCAAACCCCTTTCTAAATCTGTTTCTTCTGCTGCTGCTGCTGAGGGCGCAGCAGCAGCAGCAGCAGCAGCAGCAGCAGCATCTTCATTAGCAGCAGCAGCGACAGTAGAACTCTCAGCACCCCCTTCGGAAGCGCTTCTTTCTTTTGCTGCTGATTCTGTTGCTGCTGCAGTTGGATTTGCTGCTGCTTCTTCCTCTTTCATAAAAGAAGCTGCAGCAGGAGGCCTCAATGTGCCTAGCCAAGCAGCACCATCGCCTGCTGCTGCTGCTGCTGCTGCTGCTGCTGCTTCCTCTGCTGCTGCTGCTGCTTGGTTGGGAAGCGAGGGGGCTGGCAGCAGCTCTCCTGCAGCAGATATCTGTGAGCGCGCCTCTTCTGGAGCTTCCTGAGTTGCATGCGCGCATGCAACAGCAGCAGCAGCAGCAGCAGCAGCAGCAGCAGCAGCATATTCGGGTGTATAGGCACCTCAACAACAAGCAAAGGCCTAAAATGCATCCTGCAGAAACAACTCTAGTAACAACTGCCAAACCCTAAACCCTAGTAAACCCTAAACCCTAGTAAACCCTAAACCCTAATAAACCCTAAACCCTAATAAACCCTAGGCGCACTTCTGCTGAATTCTGAGGCACAACGAAGGGATGTGGGGCCGCAGCAGCAGAAGCCACCGACCCTCTGCAATTGAAAACCACAGCAGCAGCAGCAGCAGCAAGAGGTACAGAAGCAGCAGCAAGAAGAGCTGCAGCAGCAGCAGCACCAGGTGGAAATGAAACAGCAGCAAGCGTTCAGCAGCAGCAACAACAAGGAGAGAAGCAGCAGCAAGGGTTGCAGCAGCAACACCGGAAACAGGTAGGGAAGCAGCACCATGAAGAGCTGCTGCTGCTGCAGCAGCAACAGTAGCAGCAACAACAAGCAGCAGCAGCAGCAAAGATTTCCATAGGCAGCAGCGGCTGGTATAGAAGCAGCAGCAAGAGCTGCAGCAGCAGCAACAACAAAAAGAGAGCGAAGAAGCAGCAACGAGAGCTGCATCCGCAGCAGCAACAATAGATGAGCAAGCAGCAGCAAAACGGGCGGCAGCAGCAGCAACACCAGATAAAGAAGCAGCAGCACGATCTGCAGCAGCAGGAACAGCAGATACAGGAGCAGCAGCAACGGCAGATAGAGGACCAGCAGCAGCAGCAACAGCAGATACAGGAGCAGCATCAGCAAGGCCTTAAGCATGCACGAACTCGTTTGGGTTATCTTCTATTTGTGACATCTTGCTGCTTAGCTGCGTGTGCACCTGCTGCTGCTGTTTGCTGCTGCTGTTTGCTGCTGCTGTTTGCTGCTGCTGTTTGCTCCTGTAGGTACTGCTTCTGCTGCTGCTGCTGATGCTGCTGCTTCGGCTGCTGCTGCAGCAACTCCTTGCTGCTGTGGTGTATGCGTCTACTGGGCGTAACTCAGTCTGCTACGGGGCCTCGGCAGCAGCAGCAGCAGCAGCAGCTGCTGCTGCTGCTGCTGCACACTACGGGCAGAGGCGATTTTGCCTCTTGCGGTGATACCGCAGCTGCTGTCAGTGTTACTGCAGTAGCAGCTGCAGCAGCAGCAGCAGCAGCAGCAGCAGCAGCAAACTGTAGTTGCAGCTGAGCTGTAGCTGCTGCACACCTTATCAGCAGCTCAGGCGGTGTATAAAGCGAAGCCCCTACTTATTCTTTTTATTATTTGTTTATTTTTGTTTGAATGACGGCTTTTAAAGAAATAACAAAAAGAATTTGTATATATTTCATAACGAAGAGCTCAGCATAAGGAGGAGTCACCTCCAGGTGTATAGGCAGCTCCGTCACAGCTGCAGCTGCAGAGTTATTATCCCCTTTTAATCGTTTCTTTTTGTTGTTTCGTAACTCAACTCATTTTTATTTTTATTATGCAAGCCACTTATAGCAACGGGGGCAGATGTTTCATGCAGCAGCAGCAGCAGCCGCAGCCGCAGCAGCAGCATGAGCGACGCAGATCAGAGGCCCCTCAAAGAAAAAGTGTTTCCGTAAACAAGTATATCATGCTGATTAATTTAGCGGTTTTCAAAGGCTTCTAAGTCGTAACAATCCTTACTGAGCGCAAAAAATTAAACCCTAAACCCTAAACGCTAAACCCTAAATCTGTGGGCTGGACCCTCCGCAGCAGCGGTGTTGATTATAACTCTCAACTTCGTTGACGCATGCAATTCGGGTGTATCTCCAGCTTGCAGTGTTCCTATTATAATGAGGTGTACATACACCTCGCAGTGTATTCAATAGTCTGGGGTGTACGTACACCTCGTAATGTGTTCATTAGAATGAGGTGTACATGCACCTCTCAGTGTGTATACTCAATAAACTCGGGTGTACATACACCTCGCAGTGTATTCATTATACTGAGGTGTACATACACCTGAGATTTCAGCGAGAAGAGGCTGCAAAGAAGGCTTTCTAATTTAAACAAGGATTACTGCTATTTGCGACAGAGACAAAACAAATAAAAAAGAAATAAAATAATAAACAACGAAGGAGCACCAGCAACATCCTCTTTACTCTCCAGAGAATGTAGATACAGCTCAACGAAGGACTATCTAATATTATTAACAGTAGACAGCCTCTTATGTGCTGCAGCAAGAAGCGCAGCGTTAAGTTACATCAGGTGTATCAGCACTCTTTTGCTGCAAGCGCTGCAGCAAGGCAGCCCGGCATGCATGCAAAAGCCCCAAATCTCTTTTTGTTGCATGCACAAACTCTATAGGTGTACTTCTTCAGCACTTCTTCATATTTCTTAGAAGCCAGCGCTCAAATATATATA